ATTGTGAATAAAAACACATTTCATTAGGTTCAAAACTTGATCTTACAGACTTTTTTGTTACTTGTTTACGTGGCGGGTAAAGGTCAATGGGGCTGTCTTGCCCAAGCAGTGTGCTTTTGCAGAGTTCAGGACTGTAAACAGTGCAAGCAAGCACAAATCTGTTCATATCTCCAACATACTTTTTATTTAGTCTTTACTTGCATTAAGCAACCTAATTATGGCCAGACAACCTGTCTTCAGTCTTCTTAGCCTTTTGATACACCCTTCATTTTATTAGGTCAGCCAGCTTTCACCTGGATCAGGTGTCCAGACACATTTAGATGTGGTGCTTTCTTGATTATTCGTTGTATGTGATGTTTTAGGTGTGCAATGCCAGCTTAAAGAAATCAGATATGTTCAGTGCCTCGAACGTGTTAATGGTTTAATTACAGAGTAGAGACATGCCAAGATGAATGTTTTTTTATGTAGCTGAAAAAACACTCCCAAATTTAGAGTTTAATCATGTTCCCCAAGCTAATGAAGGTACAATATTGGTCCATTTAAGAAGAGTGTGTGTTGGTGTGAATATATTTGGTTGTACACATAAAGATGAGCTTATATTATCCCACTATGTGATGCTAAACTCTTATGTTAATATACTTTTGAGGTGCCTTTGAATAGCTGCCAAGCAGAAGCACTTTTCTGTAGTGTGTTGTGTTTTGAGAAATATATTTACAAGCGTTCTCAACTATGGAAATGACTAATGCAGCCGTAAACTGTAGTGTGTGATGGCGGATGTCCAGTATGTTTACTGTTACTCTTTTAAAAGATTTTTGTGGTCATTTTAAGGAAGTGGTAGATATGAATTTGTCAGTGGTTTTAGTACAGTACTGTCATGGTTTATCAAATGAAATTAATGTAGAAACTGTTTGAATGTACTCTGTCCTCCATCAGGTTTGTGTCGTGTTTTTGACACTCTAGGAATGTAATGAACTGTAGGAGCATGAACGACTTACTTTTTTTTTCTGTAGCTCATGACAGCAGGCTTTGTTATGTGACACTTAACTGGCTCTTTTGGAGCAGGCAAACACTCTTGATTTGGTCTCATGACCTCCACACTAAATAACAAACGGTGTGTTCACTGTTTCATGCTCATTCATTACCAGTCAAACGTTTGGACACATCTACTGCTTATTTTTTTATTACTATTTTCCATATTTGAAATAATAGTACATCCAGTATATATACACACTACCATTAAAAAGTCTGGGGTCAGAAAGATTTTTTTAATAATATAAAGAAGTCTCTTATGCTCTTATAATTTAAAATGACTGTTTTCTATTTTAATATATTTTAAAATGTAATTCATTCCTGTGATGGCAAAGCTGATTTTAAGCAACCATTAACTCAAGTCGTCAGTGTCACATGATCCTTCAGAAATAATTCTGAATGCTGATGTGATTTCTCATTATTATCAATGTTGAACACAGTTATGCTGGTTCATGTTTTTGTGGAAATCGTGATAAAAAAAATTCAGGATTATTTGATGAATAGAAAGTTCAAAAGAACAGCATTTATTTGAAATAGAAATCTTATAGTGTAAATGTCTTTACTGTCATTTTTGATCAATTTAATGTGTCCATGCTGAAACAAGATTATTTCTTTAAAAGTATTACTGACCTCAATTGAATAGTAGTGTATGTTAGAGGAGAGTAGCCTTATTTCAACCAAACAGCTTTTGCCCAGTAGATTCAGAATGTTTTATGTATTTAAAAAAATCAAGCTAAAAAACAATGGCATTTTCCCACACAGCTTTTCACTACATGTATACAAGGAAATATTATATAAAAATCCATAGTAATAATTATATGTACCTACATTTAAGTTTTCAAAAACATAGGAGAAATGCCAAGCAGAGATGTTTGTGAACATATATATATATGTGTGTGTGATGACTTACTTATTTTGAGTTTTAATCTGTTCAATCTAAAAGATTCAGACATGAATCAAACTTACCAGCTTTAACGCTTTTGCTTAAATCAATCTCATCTCTTCTAATTACATGATCTTTGGGAAGGTTAATGGCCAAATTCTCTCAGCCAAGTTCATGAGGTACATCCTCGTTAGCACACTTGCATTCAGTCAGGTGTGTCCATGTTTGACTGGTAGTGTCAAGCTATAAAGTACATGTATTTTATTAAATCAATAGCTGCCCCAAAGATTTAACAGCCAAAAAAGGTATTTTCTCCCTCATTTGTTGGCTGTTGCAAGTGACTGAGATGACCAAGTCCATGAGTAGAATTTCCTCTCAAACATGCAGGGATCTTTTCCCCTTTTCCCCTGCCCTCTTTCTGTCCTCTGTGCCGCCCGTATCGCAGGTGTCAGTGCCCAGTATTGTGAGGATATGAGCTGTGCTGCCGATGCCCCTGCCTGCCCTCACTCTCCCCCACTGCTTTACATGCCATCACTCCACGCCAAACTCCGCCTGGATCCAGTGTTTCAACGCACGGATGCCTGAATGCACTTTCTTGGGGGAATTTTTCAAGCTAACTCTTTGTTTTCCCAAGCGAGTTTATCTAGTTGGTTTGCTTTGCATCACTTTGACTGCAGGAGTCACGTTGACTGACTCATTCTTGTGAAATTTTTACTCACGTTTTAACACTTCTGATGGAGTACAATGTTACCCCCCCCCTTCTGTTTCCATTGTGCAATCATTGGTGAAAACAAAACTCTTCGGGCAGGACGTGTCTCTCCCTTTCCTTAATATCCCAAAAGATCTTGTGTGACCTTTATTACCAAATGAATCCGGCTCTAATGTGAAAGAGAGAGTATAAAATGTACCTAACAAACTCTAGAGTCATCGTCTGGGGAGAGTATTCATATTGTATATTTGGTTTAAAATAAAGATTTAAAATGCTTAGAAATGAACTAAATTGATGGCGGCATACGTTTTCCCCCCCATCAAGATTCTCTGCGTATAGACAAAGGTTTTAAAAGAAATCTATTAAGAATTGTAAACTATGTACCTTATGCTTTTAAAGGGGTTTCTGGCCTGTGTACAAGGAGCCTCGGGGCTCCGGGGCCCCAGAGTTGAACTTCAGGGAGTAGTGTGTGTTTACACGTCACCTCTGCACACTTTGTGTTTCCATTTGTATTAGAAAATCTGTCTGTCGTTCACAGGAATGTTTCAGGTCCTCTGTCTTCTCACCGCCTTTATTCTGGACCCTCCATTCATACGAATGTCAGAAGGTGCAGCATAAGAGCTATAAAAGGCACAGAAAAGAGGCAAATGTTTCTATTTTAAATCCTCCCATAGGTAATTTTGATATTTTGTAACCAACAAATGATCAGTTTTGTTTGTTTTTTAATACCTTTTGGGTGAGGGCTGTTTGAATTTGGTTGGCATTACTCATAATTGTGTGTCATACCTGTCACCGATATAGATTACACATTTTATTTTTTATTTTATCCTAGTTTTAAACTTGTCCTACTGACTGAATTTAGGGGATATGTAAGTAATACTGATATATGAGAAACACTAGATTGAAATGCAAACTTATTTTCTAAATAATGGAGGTTCAACCTCTGGTCAAACACTGTGCCATCCCACAGCTGTCAAGCCCGGTCACTACTGCATTGTCTCCTCTTTTGTTGACAGGCTATGAACGAGTGATGGTTATTTCAGTTCGCGTGGACTTGAACACTCCTATCGCCAACACTACAAAGAAATGAAACGGGGAGCGATAGAGAGGGGTTGGTCTACAGGGAAGGGCTACATTTCCTGTAAAGAACATCAGTATTCATTTGCTGTGGTCGAATTGGCATACTAACATACTGTGTACTGAAAAGTAGTATGATAGTGTGCCGTTTCACACGCATCCATTGTCCTCTGGCTCAGCATCACCACTATAACTCATATGTAACCTGTATCAAAATGTATAGATCGTGTATCATGTTATTGAATGTCTAAAAAGATTATACAAAAAGTTAAAAAATACAGAATAAGTGGCTTGAAATTGTATTAAAGTATTCATGAATCAGAGAAAACAAAAGTCTAGAGATAAATGAACTATTTTTTTTTCTGTTCTGTAATTACTGTTGTGTTGATGGAGGAACACTGGTCAGAGGATCCGCTGTAATAAAAGTGAATTTAGTACAACATCACGTCTGACTTTTTATAGAATTATGATTACCAGCAGCTGGATGGTTGCATACAAGCTGTTTATGTGTCAGCTGGGGTTATAGATCTGATTTCAAATTGAAATTTTCTTTACAATAATGATTCTTATATTGACAGTTTGATGTTGTCTGCTTTTTGCTGTCAGTGCGTTTTTATTTTATTTTTTTGACAAGCATTTTGATACTGACCACCAGTGAACTTTTTTTTTAAAGAGGGGTTTTTTCCTAACCCAAACAATCTTTATTTTTTTTATTTTACTATTATTATTGTTTATGTATTATGATTCCCCATCTCTTTATTAAGTAAATGTAGTTCTAAAAAAAAAAAAAAAAACTGCATGTTGACTACAGTTTTGTGTAGCACTTCACAGCAGAAGAGTTTAATCTCACTGGTATAATAAACAAAATGTTTAAAAAAAGAGTTTGAAGTGCAACATTTTTTTACAGTTGACAAACTGTTCTAAATTAAAATTTTACATTAAAAAAAAAATACATTTTTGGAACATATATTGTTTAAAGGCATTTTATTAGTGCATTATTAAGCTCTATATCAGAAATTATGATAAAAATACATGTAAATATGTTTCCAGAAGGAAACATAGAAACACACTTAAATTACAAGTTCTCACTTTGCTGGGAAATTTAGCATTTCGGTCTTTTTTTTGTTTGTTTTTTTATAATAAACAATTTTCAAGAACATTGTACTCATAAATAACATTTCCTAGTTGGCAGATGACGTCAAGGAGTCCGAAAGGTCGAAAACGATTTTGATCCTTGCGAGCCACCGTACATATATGTGTGTGAAGACACATGAACATTAACATTAATATGTGCGTGAAGTTTACGTGATAAACAGCAGCAGACGTGTACGTGAATGAAAGGTGTACATGAGTTTACAGCTCGCGATATTGCGATTCAAGGTACTGACGACTTTTAACTTGTCAAAAGAGAAACTTGCGATGTTTATATAAGGACCCAAGACTTAAAACTCGGATTCAAAACTCGTCCGACGGTTCTGTCCTGCTTGATTACGAATCGCGATGCCTTTCTCTATAACCGAACGAGTTCGTAACTTGTTGGTTTCGTGATTCTTTAAGTAAACAACTGTATCCTACTGCATTTTCCCATTCCTGTATAATTATTATTCATCCAGTTTTTAAGTCATCAATATTTACTTATATATTAATATTACATTTTACTTATATTAATATTTACTTATATATTACATTTATTTATAACATGTTCAGGTTTGCATTATTAACTAGGAACAATGGTGTTTTGGTAAAAACTGTTGTAACCAATGTCATAAACAGCCTCTATATCACATACGATTATTTCAGACAAATCTGGTCACAGACCTACCAGGACCTGACGAGCTTTTGTGTCAAGAGCTTTGGCCACAGTCACAGACGGTAAAATATGATGTATTATATAGGCTACTACAGTGCAAAACTAAACTAGCTTACTCAGTACCAAATGCGCACTGATGATAAAAACATGACTGACAGATGCTCCTTTTTATTTGTATTGCAGAATATGCCTGATATTGACACAAAACATACTATAAAGGTAAATGGATTTCAAATGAGTCCTACTGACAACATTGTTCACTCTCAATGTGCACTGTAATGACTAAATAAACTATTTATTATATATAGCAGGATGTTATGTTTGTGCATCATATCAACGGATAAAAGTAACAAGAAAACTATTAATAAAGCTAAAGTATCTTTTAACTTTGATTTCTGTCCTGTGCAGGCTGCTGATTACATCTGTATGGACACACCCATTACATACAATGACCGCATACCCACTCAGTAAGCAATAAGCATTGACAAACACTCCGATATCTTATATGTGATTCCTTATCCGGTTCCAGTTCCGATTCCTCTTAACTATCCTGGTACAGTTCTTTCAATTCTTCTTCTTCTTTTCAGTTCTTTTACAATATATGTGTGTGTGTTGTGTGTGTGCGTTTTTGTGTGCTTAAAACTATAATTGTTCAGAATGTGCAGTTTTACTAGTTAATGAGAAAATACATAAAATGTGTAACTGTTCGATAATTCAATGTTGTAAAAAGTCAGATCACAAAGATGTGCTACTTATGTTACGTTTACAAATTAAAATATTTTATGTTTATAATATTTTTATGAACAAATAACATTTAAAAAATATTTTTCGCTGAGATTTGAGTAATCTCGTCGTGTATTTCACATAAAAACGCTGTTTTGTGTAATGGTTATGCAATGACGTCATCACGCAATGACACCACAACATCATTTAGCAACAAATCAATCTGCCTTTAGCAACTTTCCCTGAAAATCAAACAAAGTTTCCTGTGAGGGGTAGGTTTAGGTGTAGGGTTGGTGTAGGGCAATAGAATATACGGTCTGTACAGTAGAAAAACCATTACGCCTATGGGATGTCCCCACTTTTCACAAAAACAAACCTGGGTGTGTGTGTGTGTGTGTGTGTGTGTGTTGAATCGTCACATTAAGTCATTTGTTCGAAATTCGAACTACATTCGTCAAGTTGTATGTTTTTGATTCACTAAAAAGCTGTTCATAAGAGTCATTCCTTCTAAAATCGGACTACTTTGATTCACTAAAAAGAACCGGCTCTTTAGCAACAAATCAATCTGCCTTTAGCAACTTCCCCTGAAAATTAATTGGCAACACTGGTTAGTACTGTAATAAGTACTGAAAGAAAATGTTAAGTTTAGCACGACATTTCGTCCGCATCGGCAGATGAATGCACTGTGCGCAAACTGTTAACGGAACCGAGCGTCACTCGATAAGAATTTCCAACTCTACTTAAGTATGTGTAGTTTATTCATTTAAATTATAACTTAATAACTTATTGTTTTTTTCAGTGGTCCTTACGGGCCTGTTGAGGCAGAGAGTGGAGAGTACCTTTACTGCCCCCCTCAGCGCTGGCTACAAAACCTCAAAGTAAAGCAAAATCACGGTATTTCTATAGCTAAACCTGTAACTGAAGATAATTTGATAAGCTCTGCACGTGTTGTTTGTGACAGAATGGAGCGCTGGTGTTTCTGTATCACCCGTGTGTCCAGGGCCGTTTCTAGGCATAGAAGGGGCGCCAATGAGCGGAGCGCACGTACTGGCACTTTTAGCAGGGTTGTGATAAAGAGTGGCAAGGTCACCCTGAAATATGACTGCCGCCCCCACCGGATCCCCCAACATTATTGGGCTAGAGTACTGTTAATCTGACGATGCCTGTATGCCACTAGATCAGAGTGCTGTCAATTGCTGCCTGATTGTTGCATGCAAAGTTTGCATTTGGAGCGCTCAACAACGCCATTAGATCAGTGGGCTCTGTCAGTGCTTTGGCAAGGTAACACTTTTTTAAAAGGGAATAGGGATTTCGCCTAGGGCGTCAAATTGGCTAGAAACGGCCCTGAGTCGAAGTTTTCCAGGAAAGAGCGGAAGGCTTGTTCTTCTGTCCACTCTCCGCTCTTGTATTTGGGGTGGTGTTTGCTGTTGTAAACACCCTGTAGATCTTCTATGGTCACAACGCCGTCTCCTGTCTTATCAAACTTCCGAAAAGCCTGATTGATCACCTGTTTCCGTGCGCTCGACATGGACGGCTGAAGCAAAGAAACAGAACAAGCGGGTTTCACTGAAATTAGAATGATGAAGGTGTTTTTGAGAAATTTTCTGCATCCTCGAAACACGTTCTTACCCTTAATTTCTCAAGAAACTCATCAAAGTTGATAGTTCCATCCTTGTCCATCACGGCAAAGCTCTGCTGTGCTTTGTCCTTCCCCACAGACACGCCGTAGTTCTCCAGCCCCTTCTCGAACTCCTGGAAGTCCAGAGATTTACTGCCATCATCGTCCATAATGCGAAACGTCCTGGAAAAAATATAGGGAATTTATGTTCTAGGTTAAACTGTTGAACGTAAACATATTTTCATTATTTCTCCCAAATCCTCTACCTTTGTAAAAGAATAAAATAGAAAGACAAATATTTAAATTATTGATTCCTAAAATCCCTAATTAAGCATATGAACATTTCCACCTAATTTAGCCTAAAAACTTAAGATCAGTTGCTGCCTTCCATTTGTACGCCTAATCAAACTGGTTGCATGTCATTTCAACTTTTTTTT